CAGAATCATTTGGGATGATTCTCTTGGGAACTGTAAATATTCAGACCAAATGTCACGGCATTGTGGTAAATCATTTTTGACATGTTTCTCTCCGATGGGCCAAATGACTGACATTTGCATTCTAATGCTGTGCTGGAAAAAGGCCAAATGTATTTTTAATTAATTACAGAATGTGATGCTGTGTTTTGTGAAGTTGTGTAAGTGTTTATATTACCATATGTGACGATCTGGGAATGTTGTGTTTTTATTCAAATTAGGATCATAGTATTTTCATTTACTATCTACACCTTACATAACCCCAGATAGCCCAAGTAATCCCAAGTACCTCAGTCAAATTCATTTCTGATGCAAATATTTAATGTGTCATCTCATCTCACAAAGTTCATTGCTTCACTCTCATATAAGACCTTAATCTGTTAGTTATCCTTTTTGTGGTTATCTTGCAAGTCTTTTGATTGAAATGTAAATCCAGTCTGGGACTTAACGCTCATTTCAGTGCAGTCAGAGAACATGAAAGCAGTGAAGTGAAGATAAGAACAAAACTGTGTGATCTGTTCTACACACTCAGCTGAAGGGAAGAGATATCAACTCTAGATATCAGGAACATATATGACAGACATAGTACATTTTATTTAGGCTTTTTAATTTTTGTAATATTAAGATTAAATGCCACTCCATATCATATTGTTCAGATATCCCATATAAGTTATTAACTATAGTTTCATATAAAAAAATTGCTTTGTTATAAAGATTTTGTTTTTGAGTCAGAGCTTTGCAAGGTCATAGTAAATCATACTGTGGATGATTAGTTAAAATAAGTGTATGAAAGTAATGAGCAGCTAGTTGAAACCTTAAGCTGGTACAAATGCAAACTAACACAAACAGTGAATGAACAATTGTGTGCAAACTGTAGCAATATCAAATGTTAGATAATTCATTTTGATAAGCAATCTCTAATTTAAGGCTTAACTTGAAAACTTCAACTGTTTTGAAACACGACAGTAACGAGTGCTTGGATTTTATCTGACGGGACTGTGGGGTGTGTGGGGATATGTTTGATTTAAAAAGAAAATAAGATTAGGAACCACTGAGAATTCATTCCCTGCTATAACTGTGACCAGTGCTGCTTATTGCAGGGGAGTTGTGCTGCTGACCTGTATCGACACCCTCAACTGGATGCAGACATTGAGGCTGTAAAAGACATCTACACTGACAGTGCTATCTCTGTCAGGTACAGCATAGATAGTAAGACACACACACACACATATGCAATCAAGCTGTTTAAATTTTGACTAGTTTTGAAAGAAATAACTAAGTAGAGATAAGATTAAACATGCTTGCACTCTGTTATAACTAGCTGGGCCAAAAGAGAAAAGAACCACCACCCTCAGGGTATAACCACGTGAAGTGGTTTGAGTATAACTTTGATTACTCGTGATAAATTAACTCTACATGTTGTTGTGTTTATGAACAGGGAGTATGGAACCATTGATGATGTAGACATCGATCTTCATATTAACATCAGTTTCTTAGATGTGAGTCTTCACTGGAAACACCTCTTCCAATTTTGCCTATTACTATTCTAATATTGACAGTTTGCAAAGTAAAATGCAGCATAAAATCATAATCTATTTATATTACAGGAAATGTCTTTAATTAGGATGCTAACTCTGCATATTTGTGTGTCTGTGTCCGACTCAGGAGGAAGTTGCGACGGCATGGAAAGTTATCAGAACAGAACCAATTATTCTGAGACTTCGCTTTTCTCTTTCTCAGTATCTCGATGGACCCGGTGAGTAAAGCTGTCACTGTGGATGTTGGTTTTCTGGAAGGGACTTTGTATTTGTGCTACTCAATGAGTGTGAGAGATGAGTACATTGTGGGCTGTACAAGAGGGAGAATGGGGGGGAAAACACACACACACAGTTTGTGTCTATCTGTTCACTATGTGTAATAATATTAGTCATCTTTATTTAGAGCCGTCAGTAGAAGTGTTCCAGCCGTCAAATAAAGAAGGTTTCAGCTTGGGCCTGCAACTTAAAAAGTAAGTGATGTAATCTCTTAAATTTGGGACCTAAAAAACATCTATACCTGTACCATTGTGAGCAAGAGCTGCAGAAACATTTCAGTTAGTTTCAGTAGCTTAGTTTAACGTAATAGTAATATTTAGTTTATGAGAAGGTATATTTGGCGCCGATTGAAAGAGAAAATTAGCGTCTTCCTTCCTGACTGTCATGTTATCACAGGATCCTGAGCACATTCACCTCACAGCAGTGGAAGCACCTCAGTAATGAGTTTCTCAAGGCCCAGCAGGAGAAGAGGCACAGCTGGTTCAAAGCCGGAGGGACCATCAAGAAGTTCCGTGCCGGGCTCAGCATCTTCTCCCCCATCCCAAAGTAGGTATCTCTCTCACACTTTAGCTTCACCATTGGTAAATGACTCTGGAATCCCGAGTAAGATTGAATTTCTGATTTCTGTCTTTTTTTTTTTTCATTCAACACAAATGCATGTTTGCTTTCTGTGTAGTCTGTTTGTACTTTTGTTATTTACTGACATAATATAGGCATAGTGATGGAAGACATTGACTTTTTTGAGAACATCTCAAAGCTGATTCAGACTGTAGTGACAAGTGCTAATATGCTGTGTTTCTCCAGTTAAGTTAGTTATCAGTCTTTCATGATACACAGTACTGTGCGCACCTAAAGTTTAATGATTCATTCTCTACCTACGTTCATAAACAGGATAAATATACCATATAAATACTACAAACTATTAGGTGAACTATAGCAAAAAAGACAAACAGGAAATTCTAATTCAAATTCAAATTTTATTTGTCACATACACAGTCATACACAGTATGATATGCA